GGATATTAATGGCAGTCTTTTGGTCCATCACTCTCAAACCAGATCAAGATTAATCTAATGCATTTATATGTTAAATCAAAAGTAATTCCTCATGTCACCGTTCCATTAATCCATAAAAATTGTTATAATAATACAAAACAAATGCTTTTCCATATCCTAAACATGTGACTCTAATCCCTATAAATCCATATTTGCTGCATAAATAATTTTTTTCACCCTTGAGCTCTTGTTTTTACTTGTCAGAAAGGCATCTGAAGTCAAGTGGATCCATTTGTGCCCTCCCCTGTTCACACACTCCCCCTACAGAGAGCAGCTTACACAAAATAAAGCACCCTGCTTGATGCACCATCTATGAATGCTTTGTTGGGCAGGGGAGTTTTCAGCAGCTTTCCGTTATAAAAGGGAACGTTTAAGTAATAAAACTCTTTAGAATTTTTAGGTAAATTTAGTGCTTTAAAAGCTGCCAGGCATAGTACTGGGAACAAAGAGTATGTGTGGAAACGTACAACACATACAGAATATCAACTGGCAGTGAGAGCTCAGTCCATCCTGCCCTTCAGATGTAATTCACAAGTTTGTTAGTGCAGGATTAGCTCACTAGCCTTCTGATGTGACAGGGTAATTCAGTCTCTTCTCTCTTCTCATTTCTTGACCACTCAGCCAAGTCTGGGAACAGCATTAGTTTACCTCTAGGAATAGTATGGATGTGCCCTTTTCTCTGACTTTTATAGTCACTAACAGAAAAGCCTTTATTCTTCTTAGTTTTGTAAGAGTAATCTTGAAACAAAACAAGGTAATTTATGTTTTCCTGTGGCTTTAGTTAGCTTAGTTTCAAAATATTTGTTCTGGGAGGGAGAGTAGTCACCAGAAAAGCTTCTTTCTCCTAGGGTATGTTTTCTGTTTCCCAGCAAAAATTTGAGGCTACCTTTAGTCCACACAGATATGTTCTAAGTATCATTCTTCTAATGGAGAGTAAATAAAAATGAGGGACTCTTTACATCTCAGTAATATTACAGCATAGTCCTCCCACGTGATGTCCCACTTGAGTGCTACAAGTCCAAATTTTGTATTGAAGTGGCAATGCTGTTTAGAGAAGATACAGTCTTTTATTTCTCTTCCAGAGGAAACAGATTTTATTCAAAGAATTATTACTCTAATCTCCTAATTATGGTTTTTAAAAAATAATTTTGTGATCCATTTTATCTATGATTTCAGCAAGTTGTTAAAGTGGAAAGAACTGAGTCTTGGACCTAGAGGTTGGCATACCAGCCATGGTATTCCCTGTCCTCAGAGAACTGCAGAATGTTATGGTGACAGTCTGGCCTTGTTTGCATACCTGGTCTTTCTGCTGTGTTAAGTTATTCTACAGCATTATACTCAGATGGACTTTGTCTCTGCATGCTACATACATTCATGCTTATATATATAAAAATACTACATATATATGTGTACATAAATACTCACATATGCATACAAGGAAAACTTAGACAGAACATTCAAGATCTCCCCTGACTATATTTTCATTATCTTCTAATGTAATGGCCATGGAGGAGTCTAACATGATTTATATGGCAGGGAACGTGAGTGACTTTCCTGGACCAACTAATCTTTCATCACCATATGGCCCCGTGCATACATGTCTCATTGGCCCAGCACATATCAGCTAGCCCACTTGAAATCAACAGCTTTTTCCTTTGTGTTTTTCCTTTGCTATGGAATCTGTGACTTTATAAAGTCCTGGGCAGCAATCACGGGCAGTAGTACATTTGATAAATCTGCAGTATCTCTCATCAAGCATCAAGGTAAATGATGTTTGCTATCTCTTGCTTGCCTTGTTGACTACAACAAAAGTTAACTGCATCAGAACTGATTACCTTGGCTCTGTCGAAACTATCTGAACTCTGAAAGAGATAAGAGTTCTGGTGTGAATTTGTTCAAAATTATAAGTATATAGATAATCAATATAGTCTACTGCCTGAAAATGAAAAATATGTGGATGTATGTTACATGCTAAGCTGAAAATAATATGAAAGTATAGATTTTTTAACAGGGTTGTTAAGGCCTGTGCATCTATAAAAGAAAGATAAACTTGAGCAGAGATGTCTTTTTGTGCTTGATGTTATCAAATGGAATCTTTTAATACCTCCAGGTCATGCATAACATTCATCTATTCAGCTAACATCCAAGTAGTTGAAGCTTTCAATTTTCATATAAATAATCCTTAGCAATCAGCAAGGCTTTTAGATGTCAGCAAAGAAGAAAATCAGATCTGTTCCATGTACTGCAATATAATAATTGTGATTATAATAGTGGGAATAAGCAGCAAAGAAAAACAAGACTTTATTGCCATCTTGGGGTTTCTAATGACAAAACAGTTCTTCTAGTTTTGTTATAAAAATGTAGTCATCCAGTTAAATACATCACATTCTCTCATATGGAAAACAAAACCAAAAACCAAACCAAAAAACCCAAACAAATAAACAAACAAACAAAAACCTACCAAAAAACCCCCAAGAATCCCAAATTATGACCTAAATTTTTGTGTTCTTGAAGCAGGGAGCACTGTATAAGTAGGTGACCAGAACTTTCAGTCTAGTCTATTTCACATGCACATGCCTGTATCTTGGTATTTAAATCCATGCATACTAGCACTTGGTTATATTTTTTGCATGAAAGTCTGATTTAGTGCATACAGCTGTGGGTACTTGCTGTGAAGCCTTTATGGTGCTTGTGGATTTAAACTGTCATTTGGGCAGAGATTTAGGTCCTGTTGAACATAAAAGCTAGAGAATATACTTACATTTTAGCTGGCGATGCCTCTACCACCGAGTAAACACAGAGATAGGTAAACACAGAGAAATATTCAGGAATGAATGTAGTGCTGAGATCCTGTTTGTTCGTGTTTAAGGAGTTTTTTTTCCAGTATCTGCATATTTATTGGAGGAAAAGTAAATCCCATATTTTGGCTCTAAGATACACCTCTCTTATTACTCAAAAAATTTCCATTTGGAGGAAAGGAAACTGATCTGGCAATAACTGAGAGATTTCACCTTGGGATCTGGGAAATTAAGCGAACACATCCACACCAAGAAACTTCTTTTCTGGGCAAAGTATTCTATATTTAGCTGTAAGAACACATTAATCAAACAAAAAGGGCTACACCAGCATGAAAGTCCACTACTATGTGTGCCTGTATAGTCTCTGCTTTCTTCCTGTGCTATACAGGGTTGACTGTCCCTCTTTTACTCCCATACGGACAAAGCTAACATCCATCCCTGCAGCTTCTCCTGTTTCTCTGCTTCAGGGCATTGACTGCTACGGAGAGCCTGCTTTTTTAGGGCCAGGTTTTTCACAAGGTTTGTACTCTCTGTGGCCTCCTCAGAAAATAACTTGAATGGCAAAAGACCTCAGTATTTCTTGCTCTCAGCAAGAGGTGCTGTCTGTAGCCATGAGTATTCTGCTCCTGTAACCTTACAAAAATCTCCTTGATTTGATTCTTGTTAAGAAATACATGCATACTATTAATAAAATGTTCACATTCAACACATCCCCAGTAAATAAGCCAGAAACAGTATTGTATTAAAGATAAAATAAAATGAGTCAAGCAAGAGAAAAAATGGTATGCTAGATTCCCCCAAATAGCTGGTTTATAAGTGGACTTGAAGTGGTGAAGGAATTTTTTATGTGTGGTAGTTATTGTCCTCCTATTTTTAGGTACCAGTAGAGTGCAGTGCTCAAAAGCAGCTATCACAGACACAAATAGTTATGTGTGTGCAATTTCGAGGGTGTAAAATTAAGGCCCAATCCTGAAAAAAATTATGTATTTTCTAAGAT